TGTTCAAACTTGATAGCTTTAAGACTTGTGGACTTCAACTCCCAGAATTCCTCCTCTCGCTCTTCATCTTAATGATGTGCGGACGGGTGGGGGGAGGGAGCTGGAACCGGTTCTAAACAGTACAGTAGATTTGTGGAACCTCTTCTATAGAAGAGGTTAGAACTGGCAGGAACTCACCCCTGGATCTGGCCCTCAAGGCTGCCCTGTAAACAGCAAAGGACCAGCCAGCAGTGCCTTTGCCAATGAAAATGGAGATCGGGAAGGCCGCAGGCAACCCTCTTGAGCTCCATTTTCACTGGCAGAGGGTTGTAGGAAGCTGTCACAGCCAAAAAAGGAGCTCAGGAGCCCGTTTTTACTGGTAGAGCGCTCAGGCCACCAGAGGTGCCCCCCCCCCCAACACAAGTGACTTTGAGCTAGCCATGCCCACCCTGGCCTCCTAAGATCAAACACAACCCTGATGCAGTCCTCAATGAAATTGAGTTTGACATTCCTAGTCTAGTACAATGCTAACTGGATTTTCATAATGTCAGCCTTATAGTGGCTTTTCATTGACAGAAATTGCAACAATATCCTTTTATTTTATTCAGGAGCTCAGATACTGCTTTGTAAAAAAAAAAAGCGAGGCAAAAATGGTGACTGAAGCTTAGCATTAACCCTCTGTACAACTTTTCAGTGGCTTTTCGGGAGGTCTGATGCTAGAGACTCAGAGCCACTGTGCATTGCACCCCCACTTTCCCCAAGGCACTGGATTGAGTTCACCAAATAAAAGTAAAGTAACAAAATCAAGTAAAAGAAGTGCCAACCACTGGCTTCCTTACCCCAAGACAGATATACATTTTAAATTAATAAATACCCTTCCCTAGTGTTGGTCCTACACTTTTTTGGCTAGTAAGTGCCTGTACTAATTTAGTTAAAAGATATTTCACTTCTTTCTGTTAGGGGAAATCTGGATACAAAGGAGAAAAGGTATGGATTTCTCACCTTCTTGTATCCTCTGTTTGTTGCATGCCAATAACAGCCGAGTTACTGAATTTAAAGACGAAGGTTGGAATATTTATTAATTAATGAATTATATATCCCACATTTTCCTTTCTTTGTAAAATCTTAAACATGTTTCCAACAAGAAAATATAAAGGGGAGAGGGTGGAAATCTTGCAGTGAAGGAAAGTTGTTTGCCATTGTCTTTTAATGCAGAGATAATATGAACTGCCCTTTTTACATCTCAGGGTGAAAGAGGTGAATGTGGAACACCGGGCATAAAAGGAGACCGAGTAAGTAACTGTCACAGATTTAACTGGGAGGAGAGATGGAAAAGAAACGGCATGGAAAGAAGACAAACTGCATAAGCGCACCAACGTGCCTACCCTCCCTGTCCTACTGTCCCCACTTATTCATATCCATTTCCTGTATATAGGACACACATAATTATGTTTATACCGATAGCTGTTATCCTATACCTTCTTGACAAAATAAATTGAATTAAATTAAATTGAAAAAAGATAAGGAGATATGATCTACCCATGTTTCCTCAAAAATAAGACTGGGTCTTATATTAATTTTTGCTCCCAAAGATGCATTGGGGCATTTTCTGGTTAGGTTTTGTTTTTGGGGAAATACAGTACTAAATACATTTGTCTGGTTGACAATTTTAAGTGGGTCTTATTTTTGAGGCAGGGCTTACATTGTGTGCATCCTGCAAAATCATGCTAGGGCTTATTTTCCAATTGGGTCTTATTTTGGGGGTACATAGAGTTAATGTAGAGGTAGTCCAATCCTAAAATCCATAGATTATTATTGTGTTAATATGATTAGGAAAGAGAGGACAGTTGGGGTAGGAATATTTTCAATGGGTGTAAAGAATAAAATGGTATCAATTAGTTTTTAAATTAGTTGCCTTAACATTAACAATCTGTAGCAGGCCTGCAAAAATGTCTTCCTAGATCTCTGGGCAGCTGCCACCAATCAGTGCAAACACTATGGAGTTGGTTAGACCAGTGTTTCTCAACCTTGGCCACTTGAAGATGTCTGGACTTCAACTCCCAGAATTCCCCAGCCAGCATCCTCTAAGCCAGTGTTTCTCAACCTTGGCCACTTGAAGATGTCTGGACTTCAACTCCCAGAATTCCCCAGCCAGCATCCTCTAAGCCAGTGTTTCTCAACCTTGGCCACTTGAAGATGTCTGGACTTCAAGTCCCAGAATTCCCCAGCCAGCATCCTCTAAGCCAGTGTTTCTCAACCTTGGCCACTTGAAGATGTCTGGACTTCAAGTCCCAGAATTCCCCAGCCAGCATCCTCTAAGCCAGTGTTTCT